CATCGTCCTCAATTTTCCGTTATCAAGAGTTTTATCGTCCATTGCTTTGTAGTTGTGTTCTGATGGTTGGCTCAGCACGTTAATCATCTCAGAATTTGTAGCACATCAATGCCACATTATGTGTTCCTTTCAATCTCTGTCTTGTAAACTTGAAACTGTCGACCACTAACATGGATGTGCCTGTTCTTCTTTCTGTGAACTTAGAAAAAATGTCGGATAGACATAGATTGAATATGTGCGTATGTGAGAGCGTGCACCTATGAGTGCATGTGTGTGTGAGTGTGTGTGTGTGAGTGTGTGTGTGTGTGTGTGTGTGTGTGTGTGTGTGTGTGTGTGTGTGTGTGTGTGTGTAGGGGGGGAAGGGGTGTATATTTGTTCACACGTATAGTATAATACGGTAAACGTTTATTCTTGTCAGTTACGTTTTATGAGTGTGTACAGGTTCTGTGACTGCGTATAACACTAGATCTATAAACACCCCACGTTATGAACACATCCAAGGGGGAAGGATAGGGGATAAACCATCCCTCTTTTCTTTCTACTTTTTATTTTAAAAAAAAAAAATTTTTTTTTGGGGGGGGAGTGTTTTACGGCGCTCGCAACTGCAAAAGGTCATAGTCATATGAGCGCGTGGGAAACGTTAAACATTTTCAGTTGGTAGCAGCAAATTTTTAATTTTGCCCAGGTGGCGGCCAAAGCCTACTCTTTTCGATTTTGGACCACCAAGGGGTCTTTAACATTCACAGCATGCACACGGGACTCCCGAGATTTTTCGCATTTATCCGAGAAGGCTAGGTGTAGATCGTTCATATCATAAGATCAGGGATGTGGCTAAAATACAGCAGTAAGAAGGAGCCAAGAAGTAGCAGTAGAAAGGCAACAGAAAGAGTGAGCCCAGATAAGGGGACAAGGTAGGTGAGGGGGTGGGGGGCAGAAAGTGGAGACGAAAGCAGACGACAGAACATTGTTAGTGTTAGAGAGCAGGAAAAGAGGTGAAAGGAGAACATCTTTAAAGAAGAAAATCTTCCGTCGCCGTCTGGATTCGAACCCAGGACCTATTGTATGAGAGGCGAACACCTTAACCCCTCGACCACGAGAGCCCCCTAAACCATCTCTGTTTACTTCTAAAATGTAAACTATTTGTATAATCTCATACAATAACATGCCAAACTTTCGTTCCTCGTCATTCCAAACATGATTTTTCCGTGTATGCTTAATATTAATAATATTACTGATTGACAATGACAAATGTATGGCATTGCTTTCTCAATGTGCCTATGACACAGTACCCCATGTCGGACCTGTGTAACATTGTACATAATGTAGATGTGTACAGTACTTATCTTATTGAATTCTCCCGCTTTTCACAATTATCATACATGTTGTTGTCTTGTACACCCACTTGAGTGAAGACACATGCACACACATACACACGACACATAGACATACACACTTAATCGTTACATTTCGCCTTTCGCTACATTTATCTTGAGAATGAGAACAATTAATTTTTGCAGTAATACAAGCACCCATAATTGAAGTAAAGCTCAGTGGATGACTTAGTAAAATGTGAGCCAAAAAGAATTTTCAGAAAGGTGGAAACGTTGGTAATGTAATTATCTACATTGAGACATGATATAACTGTTGTTTCATTGTGTCAAAAAATATATTTTTTTTTCATCAAGGCGGATGAAATTCTTGTTGCATTTATGTGATTGGTGTACTTTTTTTTTCTTTCCTTTTCTCTTCTTTTTTTTTTTTTTTTTGGGTAAGTGTTTTACGGCGCTCCCAGCTGCATAAGGTCAAATGAGCGTGCGGGACGCATTAAACATTTTCGCTTGGTAGGAAATTTTGAATTTTGCCCAGGTGGCAGCCAAAGCCTAGTCTTAATAATATTGGTGTACATGAAAAGTCACAGACTATCAACCAGTTGCTAAAATATTACTCATCTTCTGGTCATTGATCTTGCCCATAATCATGACGTGTATGTGCACTAACCTGTCAAGCCAACATGACAACACTAGTAGTATGTCTGAGGTGTTTCAGATTTAACATATATGTCCAGGGGAATATAAGGGAATCATTTCCAATGTACATGGGAATTCAACCAAACTAATGTATAACATCTTTTTTTTTTTTTTACAGTGTTTATGCATGATTTTCCTATTAAGAAAAAACAAAAAATTAGTACTTTAAGTTAGAACAGAACTAATCCAAGATTTGAATTTGACTCAAACGCATCCACTGTTGTGGTAGGGTATAGTACAGTGGTATTCATATCTGAACAGAAACTAGGAACATACAAGAGCAAGACAATTAACTTAACAATGCAATGACTCCAAGACTTGGTTTAGAGTCCCAGTTTGTTTTCTACCCTGCATGCCTGTAACCAAGTAAATTTTCTTGTTTCATTGTAGCCTACCACTCCGTCAGCTTATAAATATATATAACAGCTTTGCATTTCATAGGCCTCTATTGCATTGATGTTTTCTTCTTGTGTGTAAAAGTTTTAAACTTTCTTTAAACCAATCTACTGACTGTTACGAAAAATTTTCCAAACTGCTGATGTTTATCATAATCTATTAATTCCTGGAAAAATATTGATTATAAATATACATCATTCCAATCAAAAATAATTCAGCTGTTGTTTGCAATGAATGAAAGTGTGCAATTTGGTGTCTGAATTCATGAGCGCACACTTGACTTTGTGATGCAGCATAGGTACACATATTAAAAAAGTGTACTGCAATATTTTGTATATATAATTCTTTTATCTCTTTAACTTGATATTGTATAAATTTTGTTCCTGGGGCCATATTCCATGTGATCTTAAATGAGTTGATTTACACTCTTTGTGAACATATTTCAAAATGTGAGACATCGTGGTGAAATCAGGCGCTCTTCAAAATAATGGAATCCGAGAAGTCGGCATTTTTCGGCCAGTTTGGACATTTTTTTCTAATTTTTGTTTTTTTTGCTCAACACTTTGTATGTCCATTCAAAAACACTTTTCTGTGCGGATTTTTTTTTAAAATGTTGATTTAAGGCACAGGAAATGTTATTTGGCACTTTCCAGGGACTCTTAAGCTATGGAAGTCACCGAACTTTGACAGCCATTTTCTCAATAATTTTACTTCTGAAACCAGGCGACCCTATCTCCTTTAATCGCAAATATCTCGAATTTTATTTCAGATAAATGGATTTTTTTCATTGAGAGCAAGGTAATTGAATAACCTTTAAGATGATACCAATAACTCTAAATGCCAAAAAATTTACGAGCGCCCGATTCCACCACATCGGGACACAAATAGACAAAAGTGCTGTGGAGTGTAGTGTACAAAGGGCATAAACTCAACTGATATATTATTAATGTGACACTGTGTCTGTCTTTCATTCCGATAACTACCATTTTGTGCCAGTACTCATAACAAATAACAAATGGAAAACTATTCCTAATTCTTAATTTTTTTTCTTTTCGCCATTTAGACTGCAAGCAGGATCGTTAGTCTTCACTGTATGAAAATAAATTATTTGTTCAGAAAACTTGCAATATCCAATGATTTAATACTGTTTCAAGCCTGTTTTTGTACAAGGTACAGATCATGAATTATATCCATATTTTCTATGGCGGGGGTTTCTCCTCGTTCTGGCCATACTGTTTTTGTTATAAAGCCATCCAGTGTTCTCAAAGGTATTCTGTTTCACCAGGTCGCCGCCCATCAGCTACAGTGTCGTTTTTTCCCTCATCCCTTCCCTTAATAATTACTGTTAACAAAACCTCCTTAAATAAATTTATATAATGGAAAGACGTTTCTTGCCTATGTTTGTGTGAAAAGTAGTTTGAAGTTTGAGCATCATAAAAGCAGTGTTAATTCAACTTCAGTCTAGCATGCACATAGCAAACACGCACATGATGAAATGCGCACATAGTGAACAGATTTTTAGGTCCTGAATTACTTCTCATACATGCATATTCTTTGTATTTTAAATACATTATATAAAGTGAAATTCATAAATAACAAATAGATTTCGATGTCCTGCCAATTTTGCTATGTGCCTGCAAGACTGTAACTGGGTTAGGAAGCTCTGGTTGGGTAAGGTAAAACATTAGCCAGAGGAACTAGACCTCTGCTTTCTTTGGTGAGAGTGACGACACAGCCAGCCTATGTGAGGGAAAGTGAAGTGAGGCAAAGTGAAGTGAGGCAGTTTAAAAATACTTCAGTCCTCACATCAAGGGCAGAAAACACCATTGGTTATAAATACAAAAGATATGTGGCTGACTTTTGATCAACTGCTTCCTGAAGCATTCCAACTGTTACCACCGGTCTGACCTGACTGACCCAGGAAAGTAAAGATATCTGATTTTGAACAATCAGAAATCAGGCCAAACCAGTCACTGTCATCCTATAAACAATGCAGAATGAGATAAGAATAGGATAAGTGTACAACAGCAATTAACTGGATATCAAATCAATCTTGATAATTCATTGATCAAAGGTCGTCTGCTATAAATATCAATTAATGATGCTCATCATTCCCCAGGCATTGATTTTTTTTTTCTAAACAAGAAAAAAATGTTAGATTTTAAACTTTACGAAGAAATGAATACTGATATGGAAAAATCTCAATTTCTTTCCAAAAAAATGAGAAGGTACCAAACAATATCTAGGCAATGCAACATGGTAGGATGGTTTTTTAAAAACCAGGCCCTCAAATTCTCAGAGTGGGCATTTGGCGGGTGCTATGATGTGGTTTGCTCCTTTTATCCTATCAAGCATCCATCATCCTTATCTCTCCTTTTTCTTTTATTATGTTACTATTTATAAACACATCGAATCTTCAACACTTATGTGACCTAATTGTGAAGCATGTGCCGTAAAACTCGCACTACAACAATCAGGGAGTCAAACAAATTTTTTTTTTCTACTTTGCTTTCTGCATATGCTCTAAATATTGATCAGATACTGATCAAGCCACACACTCAAAAAAAGAAAGTATCATTCACTGCCATCTTTTGATTTATTACATCAGATGATTATCAAGGCATGTCTCAGCGCAGTGGTATCAAACATTTTTTTAAAAAATTATCAACCATTTCCTCAAAGATATAACATTGTGACAGTAAAAATAGATAATGCTAATCGACTGGTGTTTTAAACCTCTAATGAAAAAACACTATTTACGTTTTATAACAGAGATGGGACAAAAACATATGAGCATAATAAACTCTTCTAATTAAACAACGAAAGCTCTCAAAAGACCCAGCTGGGATGGAACCTAAGTCGTCAGATTTACAGTTTAGTCCATTTGAGCAAATCATCTACCATGAAAAAGGTAAAAATTCTAAGATGGTGCAGACAAAAAAATTATCATTTACTTGTGCACATGCAATGTACTTTTGGTCAAACAGGAATGTTCAGACATTAAAAATGGTTCACACTGTTTATTTAAATAATTCTTCGGAACAAAAAACATAACAAGAATTGTTTTTGATACAAAGGGCTCATCTTTTTCTCGGTGGTAGAGTTATATGGACCAAAACCAATTTGCAGAAACAAGACGAGAATAAATGATTAAAGAAAAATATCTGCGTGACAACACTGGAGTACACAAACCGATTTACTGTCCTGGACAAGAAAATCAACTGCTTTTTTGTTGTTGTTTTTTTTAAGATGAAAAAAGACAACAAAAAAGATACTGCCAACAAAACAAAAAGTAAGTAAAAGAAATAAAACAAACAAAATGAGTGAAACAGGGCAGGCAAAAGCATACCCACGTAACTCTTTATCAACTGCTTCTGAAAAACCATTTGTGTTCCATCACAAGAAAACAGATGCAAACAAAACCACATAGATTGCACGGATCATATTAGCTCTTCATACAAATAATTGGGTATGCTTTATCCTTAGGACATTCTTTGGGAAGAGAAAACAAAGGGTAGCTAATTAGTCTTGTGTTGTTTGTGTAGAAAGCACAGTCTGAGGTCCTGTGGGCAATTCTTTACATCTTGGAGCTGAGAGCAAACAAATCTCCCAGTTTCTGAGCCAACATGATGTTTCCAGAAAGCTTCAGTTTTCCTGTCATAAACGCCTGAAAGATAACAATTAAAAAAGACAATTTAAAAAAAGAAGCAAAATGTGCTTTTCAAAATACTGAAAACCAGGACAAAAAAAACATGCTTGTCAATGACATCTATAGATATCTGGTAACTGAAAGGAGAGGGTAGAAAAGGGGAAAAAATCATTGTAGATCCTGTCGTCTACCCCAAATGTTCCAAAAGCTTACTTACAAAAAGGTGGTAAATAAACATGGGGCTAATTGGGAACAAACCACAATATGTCAGTACAAGACATTTAAATTAAAAATGCCTTTAACCCTATCCGTACGTCGTGTTTTACTATCGTATCCATACGATGTGGGGAACTCTGTGCCACCACTTTCCAAAGAGGAAATTTACTCGCTAGTCCGATCCATACGCTTTGCATAGCAGTCTGTCAAAATGATTTTTTGAGAAATACTGAAAGTTTCATAGAGATCTTCGTACTACAAATATTCTAAAATCTGAAGAATACAACCCCGGGGGTACAAAATGACCCTAGGGCATACAGATAGTGTCAAAATAAATAATTTTGTCCTTTTCTCGGATCAGAACGAGTCTAGAAAGAAAGCAGATCAAGTGACATGAAAGATCAGCAAAGCAGGAGAGGATCAGAACTAAAGAACGTTTTAAGTATCATCATCATCATAAAGTGCCATATTTGAAACAGACATCAGCAACGTTTGTTCATTTCTCTGCCCAGATGCTCTCAAAACACTTACATTGTCCCAGTCTTTCCTTATCACCCATCTGTTCAAGTTCTTTCATACCTTGTTCTTGGTCTACTCCTGCCTCTTTTGCTGTCTATTTTTCCAGTGCCAGCAAGATATTCAAGGCCTTTATGTTAAATTCAAGTGTACAAAAAGAACTATTTTTGTCTCTCCCTGATTGTTTTTTTTTTTTAGTGAGCAGTCCACTCAAACTTCTTTTCAGCACTGCTTCAATTGATTTTTTTTCCTTCCATGAAATTCTCAACATTCTCCATAGAATCCACAGTTCTGTTTAAGTGAACATTATGGAAATTATTAGCACTTAACCAAAACAGTAATAAAGAAAGATAATTGTACCTTCTGAGGATCCAGTTTGCCTGCGACCAAGTTCATGAAGTTATCATCAGAAACTGTGATTGTGCAGTCGACCTTTCCGGAGCGAACAGAGCCTTCATACACTTCACCAGTCTTGGAATTTTTCAAGTCCACGACTTAAGAAAAAAAAGAATGAGAAATGCCTGGTTGGATCATTCTTATTATAAGAGAAAAAAGAACTGCCAAAAGAGTGCAAATTCAGTAGGAGAGAAAAAAGTCAAAGAAAGATGCCAATGTCATATCATAATGGTTTAGACAACCTCCTGAAAACACTGAAATTATTGTTACTGTCAATTTTTATAGTTTATAAAGGGATCGAACACATATCATTTAACATACCATGCTGATCAGTCATAAAGGGATAACCATAAAACCTACCCTGCCAACAGTCTCAAGAACATCATTCATTCATACAAACATAGGCTGCAATCTATCACAATTTGATCCTAAGCTTAACCTGAAAGCATGTACTCATGATATATTATATCGAGCCAGAAAACAACTCAAACCTGACAAGTCCAGAAAACTACCTCGACATCATAGAAAAAAACAGAAATAAAAAATTGAACTATTCATAGGTATACAATATCAGCAGGTATATAAAACACAAGTTTCAAGACTGAATAAACCATTAAAACCAGAATACAACACAATGGCAAGAAGAAATAAAAAATACCAGGTCCAACCTAATTGGTTACCAAGAAACACCTTGCCAGATGACGATAAAAGAACAACGTTATTATTTATGGGCACACTTACTCCAGCTGGTGGCTGGCTTGCCCTCCTGAGTAATGTTCCACTGGTAAACAGCATTGACCTTAGCGACAAGGCCAGACTGCGACCTGAGCTGGGTGGCCATGTGTTGGAACACACCACTGCTCCTCAAGGCTCCGCCATTCTGTGAAGGAGTTTTACAGTATATAAAGCAATACAGTTAGTCTTTGTTTTACATATTAAAATTAATCAGTACAGATGTCTATTGATTATGATGCATTACAGAGATAACTCTTAAGGGGACCTACAACCAATATTTTTATCTTCATTAATAAAGCATAATTTTTTTTTAAACAACCAGACAGCATCAAGTCCAAGAGTAACAGATTAAAACCCCATAAAACCGTTTTGTTTACTATTAATGCCATGGTAAAAAGTGAAAAACACCTGCTATCTTGAACTCATCTGAATTTTAATTTCCTAATGTTCTGTTAGTTTCGCATAGAAAGGAGTCCCCTTTTAGTAATTAAGTTTTTAATTACTGCCCACCAGTTATTTGGTTGGGATTTTTTTAGGCGCTCTTTTTTAATTTTTCATGCTTTGCCCATTTCACTTTACGCAAAAGTTTTGATTGTTGAGGTCATGTGTTCCAATGCACTAGCGCCCATATTAATGTTTTGCAAACGACCTGAGATTGTGAATTCCTTTAAAAATCACAAAAATCGCCAATTCAAGCAGCGAAAAAAAACTCAGTATACTGTAGTTAACTATAAAATGAGGCAGACTCTCTCTTAAAGCCATACCCATAAAAATTTTAGCGGCACAGAACGAGTTAACTTTCAGTAAAGCAGAACATTTTGTAGGGAAAAAATTAATGATGAACTCAAATGGCATGAACAATACTTTTCTTGAAAGCCATGTATTTCTGTACTCAAACTGTGCAAAAAGATAAGACCCCAAAGAATCTAAACAATTGACGGGGAAGACGAAAAAACAAAGAAACCAACCTGCTGAACAGGCTTGCTCACATTTGCCACCTCCTTCAAATCCACATAGGCGCCACTGATACAGATGTTACCATTCTCGACAATCTGCAGGGAAACAAAATACAGCAAGGTTCATATTTTAAGGAGAAAGCATGTGGAGACAGCACAAAGCAAGGGAAAGCTCTTGGACTCACAGTAAGGATAAAGCCTGAAATTGGCTCATATTTGAATCACATTTTTTCTGGTCTTTGTGACTTTGAAAGTATGAGAAGAGAAAAAGAGAAATCAAGCAACTCATTTTTTCAAAATTCTCCTATTTCTTTTTGACAAATATACGGAAATTCAGTGAACCTGGTATAAAAATCACGGAAACTGTTTATACTGCGAGACTTTATTTATCACTTCAAAATTAACCAAGTCTCTAAAAATCATAAGAATTCAATAAAGTAAGTGCTTTTCAAACACTGATAGGGGCATCTCACCTTTGTCTGGAAGAGAATTCGGTTACCCTCTCTCCACATTTCAGTTCGCAAACTTTGTCCAGGCAAGACAGGCTTGGAAAATCTCACCTGTTGAAACAAACAATTGCAAACTTGGAAAAGGACAGATCTGGAACAAAACAGAAAGTGCATATATGAACATGCTGAGCAACGAACAACTCGAAGTAAGTCCTACGCCACAACCTTCTACATGGCATTGGACAGAAGGGCGAGAGCCCAGCTGTTACTGGATCGATAACAACAACAACAACAACAACGCCACAACCTCCACAATAGGAGTAGAGTCCGCCTTACTTGATACATACACCATTGTCCGAGAAGACTGCAGACAGACATATCTACATTGTCGTACAGTGGTAAAGGAGAAAGAAAAAAAATCAAGATATGAGGGGAAGCCTGTGTGTGTGTTTGTGTGTAAGTGTGTGTGTGTGTGTGTGTGTGTGTCTGTGTGTGTGTGTGTGTGTGTGTGTGTGGGTGGATGTGTGGGTGAGAGGGGGGGGGGGAGAGGATGTGCGGTGTGTGTGTGAAAAGCAAGAGATTCAAAAGTAGAGAGTACAACCAGGAGCTCATAGAATATAATCAGCCAGACCATAATGAGAGGAGGAAAAACAAAAAATGCTCCTACATTTCATAACAGAAAGTCCAACACAGATTTATTTATTACACAGATAGCTTTGCTTCTTTCCGGACTAAAGTAACTACCACACAGCGAGAAAGTCATTCTCTGGGGACCACTCACTTTCACACTCTTGAATTTGCTCATGTCGTTGTTAGCAAATGTCTTCATTACATGCCGCACAGAATGGCCAAAACTGCAGAGTCCATGGAGGATAGGTGTTTTGAAACCTGAATGATATGAAGAAAACTGTTCTTGAACAGAAGACAAAAGGCTGATAACACAACATTAGAACTTTCCAGCATCTAAGAAAGCAATATGTGAGGCAGCGTGGTGAAATCAGGCGCTCTTCAAAATGGTGAAAGAAAAGAAACTAAGACTTTTCCGCTGGTTTGGCAATTTTTGTCAAAATTTTTTTCGTTGGCTTGACACCGTCTATGTTCATTTAAGAACTCATTTCAGTGTGAATTATATTAGAAAAATGCTGATTAAAGCGACAAAATATGTATATGGTCGGTTTCCACGGACTCTGAGGCTTTGAAAATAACCAAACTTTGGTGGCCATTTTCTCCCTAATTTTAAGTCTGAAACAAAGTGACTCCCACCTCATTCAATTACAAATATCTTGACATGTACTCAAGATAAATGGGTAATCTATAAATTGAAAGCAAGACAAACGATCCAACTTTTATGCAATACCAATAACTCTACAAACCCAAATATTGACGAGCACCTGATTCCACCGTGTCGTGACACATATAATTATTATAAACCTGCTGGAGAAATTCAATACATTTAGCAAAAGTTTGAAAAATCCAAAAACAGTTTCAGGTTTCACGTGGAAAACAACTGTCACATACAAATCATTTCAGGTTAAAGGCAATTAGTCCACTGCATTTTTTGCTAATTCTTACATGAAGGAAGAAAGAGGTCATTTTTTTATAATTGGGGGCAATGCAGAAAAAAACCTCATTCAAGGCCATTACTGAAAAAAACGTCCATACTCTTTCAAAAACTAACATTCAGTACATTAAGTTGTAAAAATCTTAAAATGCCAAACTTTAGATATTACTGATGTTGGGTGCAAACTTGTCAAGTCCGAGATTTATGTTTGAAGTGTGTTCCAACACACAACATCACACAGTGGTCTCTGGCCTCCCACTTACAGCACACAGGGTAAAGCAAGAACTGCATTAACTCTTTATCTCCGGCAAGCCGTTCCCAGCAGCTCACGGTCGGAACCGCTATGCAGGTGAACTGCTGGGAGCAGGTCGGGCACATTCCTTTATTTTGACTTCTGTGTCAAATTACCTTTAAGGCAATTGCCAAAAATTTGTCTCTTTTACCGGGAGTCCGTTCAATAGATGAAGAACCATCAAAATAGGTTCACTTGTTTTGATTTAATGACCCATTTATTGACATTTTTGTCATTTTTACATTAAGTACCAAAGAAGGGGTCCGGCATAGTGGGTTTTTACCCCCACATAGATAAAGAGTTAACGCACCCGAGCAGCACCAAGGCAAATTTTACTTAAGCACTTATCACTTGTAAGTGCACATTCCGAATTGTCAACTCTGTTTAATAACATGACCATTCCTGTGCTAGTGTCATAAATGGAACAGCCATAAAAATGATTAATTTCACTTGGACTGATGGAAGCAAACAAATACCATATGCCTTCCTTTATTGCTTTAAATTGAGACTTTGCCGAGGAAATAGACATAAGGACAAGTCGCGAGTCAGAATTGTGCAATGAGGACAGCTAATGCTTGGCAAAGCGTGGTGAGCAGACAGTATGAGAGGGCTACACACGAGTAATGATGACAGTCGTTGTCTGTGATCTCAATGTCAGAAAACTTCAAACCTTACGGCGGGCTCAGCTCAATGATGCAACTTACTTCAGGAAATCAAATGGGAAGTGGTGCACGAAAATCAGCTTGTCATCAAAGATGCTGCTATTAGCCAGAGACCACTGTACAGCACAATGCTCTAAATCATGGGTAAATTAACTTTAATGTTAGAAGAATTTTAAAAAGAACAGCAAAAAACTTGTGAATTCCAGAAAAATCAAAAGCAAGCTAAACTTCTAAAGCCTTCTCTTTTGAGACCAACACTACTGCTATTGCCTATCTCAAGGAAAAGCAAAACAACTCTGACTGAGATGCATTGCTTTGGGGGTACATGAAACAAGAACTAATACAATTACCTCCCATGGCAGCAAAACTTGGGTCAATGTGCAGTGGGTTGCGATCTCCACTCAATCGATAAAGAGCTGCCTAAAAAAGAGAAAGAGAATGCATGAAAGCATTTAAACGAAATGACTTTTTTCTTTAAAACTGAATAAAATAATCCTTTTCTAAAGTCGAAAAAAATTAAAATCTTGAAAAAAACATCCCCAAATCAAATTAAGCAACTCAAACCAAACAGAGAATAACTGAGTTCCAATTAAAAGAAAAAGCAGTCAACAGTCTGGTCTGTCAGGAACATTAAATGAAGTAACATGGAAATTTTTTTAAAAACATAATAAAGCACACTCTAAGCCTTCTATGAGTCTCTCCAAGAAAATCAACAACATGTTGTGTAAAACATGTAGTAAAGGTATGATAAGATATCATAGAATGTTACATGTGATCACCTGTAAGTAGACCTCAAAGTCTTATTAAGTATAGTCTCTGTGTGTGTGCGTGTGTGCGTGTGTGTGTGTGTGTGTGTGTGTGTGTGTGTGTGTGTGTGTGTGTGTGTGTGAGTGTGTGTGTGTGTGTGTGTGTGTGTGTGCATTAATGTATATTGCATGAGAAGAAAGGGAGTAGTAAGAAAGGTTTTGAAAAATGGGTATTCCAATGTAAAGCGCATTGAGCTACTTTTTTTGGAAATGCGCTATATAAATGTTATATATTATTATTATTATTATAAACCTACATATTTTGAGTATTAAGTACTAAACTATGGAGAACTAGAAGGAAAAGGAAAAAAGGGGAGGCAGGGTAGGACAATCAAACTAATCCAAGGTAAAGAAACAAAACATAAATGAAAGAGATCAAACCCCCCCCCCCCCTAAAAAATAAAAAAAAATCAGTTATATGTGATAAGGAACTTGCCTCAATATTGACTTACACTCTGTATCAAAGTTTTGCAACAGACAGTTAATCATATATATCTAAAATTAAAAATAATAGTAGATCAAGATACAACTGTTCAAAAATGACTTGCAGACTCCTGACAATAGTTAAATCCATGAGATTTGGAATGTGCTCACAAGACACAACAAACCAAACCCTCCCGTGCTTACTTGATCCACTGATGTTTTCTCCTGCATCACAGCATCTGGGGCTCGTTTGGGGGTTTCTGCCAGGGGGTACCCAACAGTTGTGGTCTTTGGCCCACCGAAATTGCCAGAGCCAACAGCAAAGGTGCTGAACTGATTGAAGGCAACCATTTCATTGTTCTCATCGAAAGTTTCCACTGAAAAAGACATCAAAATTCTTTTTGCTTCTTATAAAAAGAAAACCCCGCATGATCAGCATATTTCAATCGAAAATTTAAGGCCATGGGTCTATATTTCACAGACAGAGAGAGAGAGAGAAAGAGAGAAAGAGAGAGAGAAAGAGACAGAGACAGAGACAGAGAGAGAGACAGACAGAGAGAGAGAGAGAGAGACACAGAGAGAGAGAGAGACAGAGAGAGAGAGACACAGAGAGAGAGACAGAGAGAGAGAGAGAGAGAGAGAGAGAGAGACAGAGAGAGAGAGCATTAAAAACACTTGCAACAGACCAATAGATCAGGTCCAAACAATATGTTGCACCTTCTACATTGAAACTGGTGATATTTAGAAATCATGAATAAGAAACATGAATTTACAGGGCTTCTTTGGGGGGGGGTTGTATTTTTTTCTTACAAAACTCCTTCATAAAAAAGCAGGTATTTTATTACTTCTTCTGTTAAATTCGATAAGTAAAAGCTTATGAAGATGGTAAATGTGATCAGTGTGATGCATGATCAATTACACAATATCTTTAAGGCTAACTAAAAAATGGCTTTGCACCAAAGCTACAACAAGCTTAAATTCAACTTACCATTGTACAAAATGAGAGCCCCAGACTTTTTGTCCAAAATGTCAGCCACTGACAGCTGAGACGTCAGGGTCCCAGATGGAGGTATTGGCTTATACAGTTCAAGGTACTGCTCTCCATGCAGTATCTAACAACAAAGAAAACAAGCTTTATACAAATAAATCAAAAACTTTGTTACACTGGAAAAAGCTAGCACACCTATTTTTTGAGACCTTAAAAAGTTCAATATATATTAATACAACATTTATTTGGGGGGGGGGGGGGGGGGAGGGAGGGGGTATTGGTTTTTTTCTAGTTTCTGAGACACCTGAATAGACAGAAGGGACTTGAGCATCTAGCTCTCACTGATGACATGTTTTTCTCCCGAGCCGTGTACCATTCATTGAACTGACAAATGAAACAATAAATTTGTAATACATGTATGGCAAAATATCGAAAGTTACTTGATTTATTAACCTTCTTACAAGCAATAGTAACTTTCTCAAATCTTGATAAACAATCTGACCGTACTTTGGTTGGATCCACTGAAAACCCAGGCAGACCACTTGTTAGACTTTCATTGAGGCATCCAAATGCAGGGATCACCCCAAAGGATGGAATCACACTGAAGTCTTCAGACAGCTCAAACAGGAACTTCAGATAATCTTCTTGTGCAACAGACGTACCCACTGAAAAAAACATTGACAGTCATCATATAAATATACTACTTGAATTTAAATTAAATTGTTTATACCCAGATGGGACTTCTTTGCTTAAAGACAAGTTTTTATGCTAACAATTTGAACTTCAAAAATCAGATTTAATTGAAATTACTCACAGGAATAACATTTAGCTTAGAGTGAAACAAAGTAAACAAAAATAAAAAATCAGACATCTGTTGGTAAGCTGGAGGACAATATTCAAAAGAATTTTTTTCTTCATGTTTTTTACTGAATAAATTCTAAGAAATACACTTAAGAATTTCTTTTCTCAGAAGACAGTGTCAGTGCATAACTCTCTTCGTATCCAGATGTGATTTCTTTGCTTCAAACACATGTTCTTATGCCAATATACTTTGATCCTAAAAAATCTAATAAATTCAAATTACTCACAGGAATGACAATAAGCTTCGAGTGAAACAATGACAAAGAAAGTCATCAAAGACTCAACAATATTTGAAAACAAACAGAAAAAATTCTAAACAAACGAATTCTCTTTGACTCACCTCCTAATGCATACAGAATGACATCTCTCTCTGTGTACGAAAACTTGACTGCTGCTGACTTGAAGGCTTTTGCTCTGGCCTACAAACAAAGATAAACATTAACATCAATATTAAGAGGACTGAGGCATCGGGTCACTAGCAGTTTTTCTTGATCCATAAAGGGCTGGATAGAAAGAAACTACAGTGGAGTCTGCTAAACAGAAATCTGCGGGACTGCTGGATTTTCTTCAGTTTAGCAGTGTTTTTGGTGTTTACAGAGGTTACTTAAATAGAAGATAAAAAGTCAGGGATTTCATTTTCTTTTGGTTCATGCTGTTTTTGGATTAGCTGTGTTCTGTTTAAGCAGACTCCATTGTATGAATATAGTAAAAGAAATGGAATCGTGAATTATTTATCAACTCAAAGTTGCTTCAAGCAAAAAAGTAGATCTTGTCAACTACTTAGTTAAGAGTAAAGAGAAACACATAGATATAATAATGGACATTTACAGTAAGGTAAAAAGTATGAGACAGAAACAACAGAAAGGAATGAAAAGAAGAACTTACCAGTGGCATCCTTTGACCACTGTACTCATAAAATTAGTTCTGGCTGGCCTGATGGGCCACGGAAAAAATGTGTGTGTGCCTGAAGAACAGCCCCAGTTGTCGGAAGTTTTGCATTTTGATTAAGGGACATATTCTTGCAGGAAATTCAATGCTGGAGAAGTTGCTTTTTTAATTTTTAAAATACCTCACATAATTTTAAAGATGTGCTATTTTGCACAACAAGGTGTCAAATAAAGTTTTAAGCAAAACAGCTTTAAAGTTTTCTGGGTTTTTATGCAAACAGCACTTGTACTAGCTAGTATTTGCTGAACAAGCTAACTTCCAAACCATTTCAACACTTTGTGACACAGACTTATTTTATAACCAGTTTTGCAGGAAACATTATAGATTTACAAACAGAACTTATATACAACTGTTTGGGGATATTATATTCAGAGAGAACATACTGATGACATATTATAATCAAACAAGGAATATATCTTGAGGCACGCAACAAATGAATCCTTGGACAACTATAATTTCAAAGGAATCTTTTCCACTTTAAAAAAAGGGAGGAAATTAGTACAGAACCGAATATAACATACTGGATGCAATTTATATCATGGTGTTCAGATGCACAAAATCAATGTTTGCTCGAGGATTGGATGTATTCATGCACACAACATTTAACTGTGTAGGGGAGATCACGTTGAAAATTTTGGTACCTGACATTTTAGGGTTTGGTGGGAAAATAATGCCAAAATGAAACCAGAATAACAGAGGCATCATGACTTAACTTCTAGCACATTTTTAACACTCTGTGAAGTCTAATAATGTGAAAAAAATAATCTTAAAAAATATAAACAGACTGTTTTGTGAAAAATCCCTTTTGTACATTATTAGGAATGGCCTAGCATACTTTTACTCAAGGAAATATATTTTCGACCACACAACACTTTTTTTGCCGTTTCACCTCTGAATTCATAAATAGCTCTGCAGAGAACTGGGATCTTTCTCCGTCGGGATTAAAAATTAAAAGTTTACACGCCAAAGACGATAATAGAACAGAGAGAGAGACACCACTGACGACCACCATAGGAAAAAGCAAGACACTTCATCATCCGTAAAAACAGCTGAATAACATACACATCAATTTCCATCAGAATACAATATGGCAACAACTTTCTCCCACTATTACACGTTTTCTTATAAGATGAAGTCCGTTCTCTGCTCTATGACGTAACACAAGATAACTATAGAGCCTATTTCCAATCTTCAGGCCAGACACCATGAGTCTCATCTGTATCACTATATGCATATGAAACGCTCCTGTACAAATCACTTGGCAAAAACTCCACCCATAGCTGAATAAATGACATCAACAACAAAAAGAATAACAGGTCTGCATGATGATGAACACTAAGGTCAATACTGGAGCAATGTAATGAGTTGAGGCATTTTCACGTAATGTCATAGGACATCAAGAGAATCTCTCCTTTCAAGAAGAAAAAGTCCCACGTCATAAGTCCTTTGAAGTGCCTAAGAAACTCATACTTTTCATTTTGAAAAAAAATTTTCATTTACTGTCTTAATGATTTTTTTCTGACAGTAATAAATCTTCTATTTACTAAGTAGATGACCCACATCTGACAATATAAACAGATTTCATTTTTTATCTTTTTTTTTTTTGACAAGCTGTAAAAGAAAGCAGAGAATGCATACCAAAGGGTCAGATGACTGAGAAGCTTCTGCATCTTGCCTCTCCTCCTCATCAACCTGATTGACTAAACCGAACACAAAACTGTTCGATCCTGGAAAAGAACAAGAGCAGAGTACAATTAACTCTTTCCGGATATAGTTTTTTGGGGGTCTAAGCGTAATCAATTTCTCACTCGATTTGGCTATAAAGGTGATGTACAAAATAACTTCATATATGCATAGCCGTCTTTCAAAAGGTAACATGTGGAATATCAAACTGAAGGAAATTGAATGAGGAATACGTTCAGACATAAAACAAGGATTAATTTTACCTTAGCATGCATAACAAGGACTTGAATGAGTGATGGTGGAGAGAAAAATATATTTTGAAGGAAAAAAGACACTCACCAAACATGAAAAAGCAAATCAGCATTACTTTCTAATCAGACAAAGCCATTAGCATAATCCACACCTTTCTGAACGCACTACTTTTTTTTATTTGAAAGCAATATTCCAATTTTTGTTTAAGTTATGATGTTTCTATAAGTCCAGTTGCATCATTACGTTGATGCAAGACAGCAAGAATGAATTCTCTCATTTATCGCCAAACTGAAGCTTTGACAAAGTGAAACCAGATGTTTTCGTTTCCTAAATCTTGCTTGCTTCTTAAATTCCATGAGTCACATCATAGAGCCTATTTCTATGATAATCAAACTAGAGAACGGGAAGACCATAACTTAACCGAATGGCTTGACATACTCATCTGATCAATTTTTTATAAGATCTCTAACGCAAAGAAAACATTTAAATGAGTTCATGTAAAACGAAACACAAAAATGTGTTAGCAATTTCAGACGTACAATCTTCAACTTGGCATCTATCTCAAACAGACTTGAGAGATAAAAAGACAAGTTAACACAGAGTAGCGCTTTAATTTAAAATCAAACAGAATTCAAAAGCCCCTTTGCTTAATTGCAAAGCGGCCAAAGTAAAATTCTAAAAATTCTGAGAACAGAAACATAAAAGCAAAATCAATACCATCTGGAATTGTCGCAGAGGCAAAATCTGTGATCCTGTCCCAGTTGTCTCTGACTGAAAGACAAAAAAAGTTAGCAGTGAGTTACTTCATGGGTCCAGAACACTGTAAGAACATAAAACTCACCAAAAAAAAGTACAAAGTACAATCTTCCATTCTTAAACAAATGCACAGAAACACCATGGTACAACATTGATCTTGACATAGGCAATCTATTTATATATCACTTTGAAACACCTAACAAGCTAAAAATAGAATCTGAAGTCTATCGTTGAAGATCTTAAGCACACTGTCTTAGCAATATATTAATGGTAAAAGATTTCTTTGCACAATTCCACAACCACATGCTGATAGATTCTGCAGCGGGGCTGACACTTGTCAAACAAATTGCATTTGTCAGATCAGCAGAAAATCAGAATGGCCAGTACACACACAGCAAATGGAGTCTGGCTGAAACTAACTTTGCTCTCTCTGTAATTTGACATACATTTTGGTTTGCCTATTGTCAGGATATTTTGTTGCTATATATAATATTACAAAAAGAAAAATCAACACTCTCCAGGGATGTGCATGGGAATTCCAAAAATAAAATCTGAAAATCAAACACAACTGTCACAGGTGGGAGCCTTTCTTGGGGATCCAGAAGGAAAACTCCCACTGCGTAGCCATGGACGTGTGTTTCTGTGCCAATTAAATGTGCGACAAAGACTACAGGGTTCATAATATTATGTGCAAGACCCGAGATACATATGCATCACGTAATTCAGTTAAATGAAATAGAAACTTTTCTAACTTACCATTTTTATTGATTTCCTCCTCCTCCTCTCTTTCTCTCTCTCTGCCCTTTTATTTGATGATATTTTTTCCACAATAGGAAGGGGATAAAAGTCTAAAACAAGTGAAAATCTGAAACATTTACATCCCTAATTCGCTCCTACAAAATAATGCTCTAACAGCTATTTCACACTTACCAGCCTCTGCAGTGACTGCCTTGTTCTTTTCTCTCAGCAACACACCCTCTGTTCGCTGCCAACGCACTGAAAAAGTATGTATTACAGAGAAAAAAATATATAAATGCTGTCACTAGACAGACGCGCAACTAAGATATTTTGTTCTCACCCTGTCAAACAGGACTTACTCACATGACAGCAATAATATGCCTAGTTTCATAACTTTCAAAAATGTATGTTCACATACCTTTGAAATTCTGCTCAACAAAAAAAGTCAGTTCTTACCCACATTTAGTAACACCAGCCAACCTCAAAATATTTAAATTACTTTCACTCTAAGGAACACTATTTTGCAAGCTCGCCTCATTTTATTTGTAACAGGATCATCCTAATAAACCAGATATACCATATGATATGAACTGTGTAAAACTATTCTAAGACAAAGATATAAACACATTTCTCTCACTCTTTCACTTTGTGCATATTATGTGTTTCTATATATTTTATGTATATAATATATATATTCTACATGTACAAACAGAAAGGCAGATAAATAGATTGTGATCTCCTTGTATGACAGAAAATAGAACTGTAAAAAAAGGAGAAATTAAAAATGAGGTCTGAAAGACCCCTTGCAAAAAAATACAAGTAAATCTACACTCACTCATATACTGTGAGTTTGTGTCTTAAAAATATAAGACATAAATAACAATATTTTAAGAGTTAGTCAAAATGAGAAATTAAAACTGCAACAACAAAAAAAGCACTCATTTTGGGTCTCACAACAGAATAAACATACTTAACTCATTAATGATTTATTTCTAAATCCATGAACTACACACATTTACTCGTTTAGCCATAAACATAATAATGTAAGAAACTCACATTTGCCCACCCATCCTGCTCCAATCTCAAAGAGTCCTCCAGTCTCTTCACAGCTGTCATGACAAAGGTAGACAACCACAGGGGCCACATACTCAGGCTTTAGGGCTGCAACCAAATCTGAGGGGGGGCAAAGGATGTGAGACCAAACTGAAGCCATGGTACATTCATTTGCACATCATTTTTAAAACACAGCTTTTCAAGTGTTAAATAGTGGCTCTCTTTCATCAACCTCTCCATAAACTAAAAGAATCCAAAACCAAAACACACCCCTTTTAACGTATTACTTACAGAAGACAATACTTTAACAATAAGAAATCTCTACATGTAGCAGGACCTCAGTTAATGAAGTCCATATATAAAAAACCCAAGAGAGCGATGAGCCATAAAAACTTGCTAAACAACCAAAGTTTACGAATGCCCCAATAAGGATTGTAACAATGGACATCCAAATAGCAATGCAGCATAATATCAGTTAAGATGTTGGTGAACCTTCTATCCTGTCAACAACTGAAATATTAAGTAAAGAGAAATCCTTACAGACTGTGAGAAAAGGTCAAGTCATTCACCTGTTTCAGCTTATGCACACAAAAAAAAAGAATAAACAAGAGTAAGGAACAGGAGGAGAGGATATGAAGATAATGGTAAAAGATAAGGTTAATCAAAAGACTGCCGCTGGGCGGTTTCCATAAACATAAACTGCTGGTAATTGAAGGCATGCAAGATTTTTTTTCCCCACCTGACACCTTCCCATGAACACTGCATGATGTCAACAGGTGGCCAAGATAATACATTTACGCAATTAATCTTTCTGATGTTAATACAATCTCTGCTCACATATATATTTACATGAAAAACGGGTACAAATTAAATTGTTTGTTATGAACATTCCAGCCCAGCTTAACTTTGGCACTCTTAACCGCCTCCAAACAGGTGTGATATTCTCTTTCTTTTCAACTCCATTGGACTTCATACCTAGCTGAAAACGTGGAGAGAGCAAGCAGAGACCGATGTTTATGCACAAGGCTCAAGGGTGTGAAGTGTACATGACTTGACATAAGATCACAATAGTCAGGACCTCAGCATACAAAAGAAGAATAAAACAAACAAAAATCACAATTAACATTACCCGGTAAAATCTTTAGCACTTGCCCAGAGTGAAGCGACAACATGTGTCATAATGTCATAAAATGTGCCCAAACACAGTACATTCCCATCACCCCTTTGCTACCAGCCAGCATTGTTAAAAAAGCATTTTGAAAACTGCAATACGGTTGACGCAAAGGTGTGAAATATGTAATTTCTTAGCAGAAGAATTAAGCCAAACCATAAATCAAATCTGTACAAATACAACATACACAAGAAGGGGCTGATGAACACTTACTTTGAGAACTACAAAATTAAAAAGGGATGGAATAAGAGAAAGCATCTACCTGGCGGCATAACTGTCTCAGTCAACCTGGAGCCTGCAATGGGTGCAATGCAGTTGGACCTGATATTGTACTTGATGCCCTCCAGTGACAAAGTCTTTGAAAGAGCTGACAATCCAAGTTTTGCTGCACTGTAGTTAGCTTGACCAAAATTGCCATAAATTCCGGCTGAAGAGCTCACCATGATGATTCTGAGAAGCAAAAAAATCTTGATGAAGGTTCCAAACAATAGAAAATATCTTTCAGTTTTTAGTTTAAATAGATGTTTTACAGCACTCGCAATTGCACAAGGTCATATGAGCGCCAGAAGATTAGAGTCGTTACAAGAGAGTAACAAACATAAAAAAGAAGAAGGGGAGATAAGGACGATAGATGTTTGATAGGAAAGAAGGAGCAAACCACACCAGAGCACACGCCAACCACCCACTAGAAAATATCTTTGCTCAATTTCAGGTGTATTTGTGTGCACATATAGGTACGCGTGTATTCAAGAGTATTTCTGCGTTTATGTACTTGTTCTAGAGGGTATCTAGGTGAGGGTGTGTATAACTTAGAGTGGGTAACACTTAATTACGTTGAGTCCAAAAATGATGTCAGAACACAAAATCAAATTTGTTAGTACACACATTATTTCAGCTCCAATATTTCAAACCTAATAAAGAAAGACGCCAGACAATTACGAAAAACTATTTAAAAATTGCACCTATCATTCACTAAAACAGCTTTTCAGCATAGCAAAAAAATTAATCTAGTACAAAGATGCGGGGGCTCTTGCGGTCTAGAGGTTAAGTGTTTGCCTCTCATTCAAAAGGTCTTGGGTTCAAAATCTCACAGCGACGGAAAATTTTCTTCTTTAACATTTTCTCCTTTAACCTCCTTTCTTGCTTTCTAATCATGCTCTGTCATCTGCTTTCGTCTCCACTTTCTGCCCCCACCTCCCTCCCCCTTTCCCTTTTGCCCTTTCTATTGCTGTCTTTCAGACACACTCTTGATCTTAGAGTAGGTAAGATCTAACACCTTGACTTCTCATATAAGGGCAAAAACTCTCAAGTTACGCACATTAAAGATCCCTGGTAGTCAAAATCGACAAGAGTTGGCTTTGGCCGCCGCCCAGGCAAAAAATCAAAATTCATTCCTACCAAACTGAAAATGTTTAATGTGTCCCGCGGGCTCATACGACCTAATACAGTTGTGAGTGCTGTAAAACACTCACCAAAATAAAACAAAGATGCTTATACAATACACCCAACAACTCACCTCCCATAGCCTTGCTTCTTCATATGAGGCCATGCAGCCCTGGTGACCATGAATGAGCCTCTCAAGTGCACTCGGTGAATAATATCTATAAAAACACATCAAACACGTATGAAAAAATTTTGACATGATGAAGACAAAGGCTGCGTGTGTGTGTGTGTGTGTGTGTGTGTGTGTGTGTGTGTGTGT